CACAGAGATACCGCAGATGGAAGAAGTCAAGCAAACTATGCGTGCGGACCTTTGTAAACGTGCTTTCCGGGCATATTCTTTCCAAGCCGAAAAAGGAAAAAACAAGACAACTAAACAAAAAAGATAACAAACAACTCACTTAATACCTTAACCGGACAAATATATGATTAATGTAACAAAATAATAATTTAACGACTTCCATGGCTTGTCACCCGCAAATACGATATACACCTTGACATAAATAAGGCACTATTTGCATCAGTTTCGTCAGAATTTTATCATATCATCATTGAAAACAATAATTTTCAACGGGCACAAGGATACTGCAGATGGAAGAAGCCACGCAAACTGTGCGTGCGGACCCTTGTAACCGTGCTTTCCGGGCATAATCGTTTCCAACCGAGAAAGGAAAAAACAAGACAACTAAACAAACAGATAACATTCTTTCAATAACACATAGAAGGATGAAATTCCATCCCGATTCTCTAAGAGCAAAACGATGAATTTAAACTTCACGCATACGATGCGAAGCATAAACTACTGGTTCCCGTTGGCGAAACGGTACAGACTTTGCTAATCAGGGAAGCTGTTCACTCAAATCCTCTTGAAGCTGCAATGGACTTTACGAAGAAACATTCTGCAAAATGCTCAAATGATGCTTTTCACAGATGCTCTTCAATTCTTTCTTTCATTTCCATTCTGTTGATTGTTGCGCTGTTCTTTAGGATGGAAACAATAAACAGGAACACAAAGAGGAACGAACTTCGCATTTCAGATGTTGAAGGTCACCTTAAGGTCGCCGTTTTGAGGAAAAGAGCAGGTAACGAGGAGAAACTGTCAAAGGGTAAGTAAAATTTTATTTGCAAGTCGATGATAATTTGCCCTAAGGAATCCGGCTTCATCGCATGAAATTAGCCCGTCTCCAATAATCTGGGCCGATTTAGTTTTATCTTAACGGTACAGTAATTCACAACATAGATTCAAAGAAGGCAATCTTAGTACTAAATCCCGACCATTTCTATCGGTGCTTTCCTAGATGGAAGCTCAGCAACGCATACACATACCATTCCCCATCGATCAATGTGTCTACGACGGTAGTTTTGCATGAATGGGCATTGTAGCAATAACATTTACTCTAAGAGGCACCCCAAATTCCCAAATTTTGTAAACTGCTCAATAGTGAGTAGATTATTACACACTCAAATTTAATGGTTCCATTGTCTCTATACAATTTCGTTCTTACGTTTATCAGCAGAGAAGGTACTGCAAAAGATTATTTGTACATTTACGTCTAGATTTTGCGACAATTGCGTTATTCTCATTGCAAACCTTTTTCTTACTCTTTGGGGTAATATATGTGATTTCCACCAAATCATCGCTAAAACTCTACATTAGATTAAACGATGCTTCCTTCGTTTATCATGTAGAAAATAAATTATCAAGTGGCTCGAAAATGGTTAGACATGTTGCCAAAACCATCATGGTTCAAGCAGATAAGTGACTTGACAAATTATTTTGTGTCAAAAAGTTTTCATCAAGGTAGTATAATCGTCTTGATCTAGAGATGATTACTCTATGAGGTTATCAGCCACTGACCTCGGAAAATGAATGACAGATAACAGGACATAAGGTGAAATATGGACTGAACCAGTGGACCCT